CCCCAACTAGTTCCTGTAGATAAGAGGTGGGCCACCTTCCTATATTACTATTATCACCACCTTCCTACATCATCGTCATCATCATCATTATTATTACTTCAATTTGTATGATCCCCCATCTCATCTAGCTGACTCTGGGCAGCTCACAGTCCAATAAAAACGAATACACAAACATATAAAGACCACCCACAATCAGTTTAAAACAAAAATTCACGACCGGTGGCAGAATCCATCCTTATATCAGCTCAACCCATAGAAACGGCCATCCAGACCTGCAAGGGACAGGATTCGTGTGATGGCTTCTCCAGAGGGGTAGAACTGGGATTTTAAGCTTGATTGTATTTTTGGTCTGGTTGTACTTTCAAAGGTTTGCGAAGGCAATTGACAACTTAGCACACTGACTTTATTCAACGTCCTGCGGAAAATGGGCAGGAAATTGATGGTGTCACTTGACAGTTTGATGCCACATTTTGGCAGTGTGATCAAGCATGCAGATTGCTGTGAAAAGGGCTGGAAGTGTGTGACGTGCAATTTGTGGCTTCTCCCCCTGGTGTGGACGGTGTTGGGTTAGATTCTTCATCCCAGCTTCTTGTGATCTATCATTTTTATTCTACAACACTCTTCGTAGAGAAGGGTTACTTCTTTACGGCTGTGGTGAGAACTTGATAAGGTGAAGATCAGTTTTGTTGATGATATCGACCGCCCCAAGGTTGTTTCAAAAAGTCCCCAGACTTTTTGGGATCATGCAGTAGCACAGACAGCACCCCAATCCTTGCTTCTTCCATCTCAAAGCTTAAGGCTCCAATCCTGGGTGTGTGGTTTTGCTGGAACACCTCCAACGCTTCTGAAACGCTGAACAGTGTCTTGTCTGCAAACATGCAGTGTTGCAAAGAGGCAGCAAATGTGAGAAATGAGATTTGGGCATTTGGCACCACCTTCTGGGGTTTTTTTTGGGGGGGGGGAATCAGCATCTGCCTCTTTCTCTCTAAAACGTGATCTGTTTTGCAGGGAGAAATCTTCCCACCATCCCCGTAGTCATTCCAGGGAGTGAAAAGATTTTTTATCAGCCTTCAGTTCAGAAGGACATAAAAAGCAGAGTAAAAAATCCAGAACGTTTTGCAACTTAGTACGGATACTTTGGTTGGTTCAAAAGAGGAAGGAGGCATTCTAGAGTTGTGTGAACCTCAGGTTCTGCTCCTTATTATCTAACAGGGGAATTCAGACCCTGAGCTCTGAAGCAGGAAGCCCCCAACGAGGCTATGGGAAGCTGGGACTGGTCATATCAAATTCTCACATCAGCTTTAGTCTGAATATGGGGATAACCACCAGTGTGATATAGTGGGTAATGGTGCTGGGCCAGGAGTGGAGAGACCCAAGTTCTAGTCCCCCATCAGCCAGAGAAGCTCCCTGGGTGACTTTGCTCAATCTATTTCTCAGGAGTGTTCTTACGGAGAACAAGGAAGGAGGAAATGCTGTGAGGTGCTGCTGAAAAGGGAACATATAAATCAAATAAATAAATCTGAACCATCTGGCTGCTGTCGAGTTCTTATAAGGAATGCTGAAATCCTGACTTTGAAACCCTTCTTGACTGCATTTTTGTGGCTGTTAAACATTGTTGTAGTAAAGAGGGCTCTTCAAGAACTCTATTTCATCACATATATACTTGGGGGTCCCCTCCCCGCTTATTAGTTATAGTTGTCTAAAAGATGGAGTTCCTTCATGTCTACTGACACCCATCCTTGTTTTTGATGGAGCTTTGTTGTTGTAGTGACTGATTTTTCTGGAAAATCCTGTTTCTGCAAAACCTTGCAATCACAGAGTCTTCCCACTGTAGAAACCAGAGCATGGCCTGCTCCAGTTTACACAGCAGGAGGACTTTATGGACTCCTACCTTCCTCTCACTTGTATGAGGACAGAAATTCCTTCAGAGGTGTTTGATGCTCAGGGAGAAAGTCCATTTCACAATGGCAACTTCCTGTGAGGTAGAACAAGAGAGATGTGCTCCCCATATGAACCAGGAGCCTTTGTAAACACTGTCTAACAAGGTGGATTTTCTCCACCCTGAAAAAGAATGTCAGGTAATTCAGGAAAAACTTATACTCACAAGCTAATATTCTTATTATACTGATTGAGTACCGATCGCCAAATGGGGACTGTATTCAGGGTTAATTAATCCACAAATTGTTTATTTGGTATTTGGTACAAGCACCTAAAACACATTTGAAAGTACTTTCAGGTACTCTACGTCCCATAATAAACATGTGGGTTCATTATACAAGACACAGTGATGGCTACTAACTTGGATGGCTTGAAAAGGGAATTGGATCTATGAAGGGAAGACAGGTCTTTCAGGGGCTATTAGTCTTGAAGACTCCATATTACCTCCAAGTTGGACAAAGGTGGGAGAGGTGGAGGTCCCTGTTTCCTGCTTGTGAGTCCCCCACAAGCCTCTGGTTGGACACTCCAAGAAACAAACTGGTGGCCTCGCTGTGATCCAGTAAGGCTAATCTTATCGAACTCCCAAGTGTTCATAGGAGGACTTGTAAGATGTTTCTGCAAAAGGATTGTATTGTGATGGCAGGTTCCGGGCTAGATTAATCACTATGCTAAATAAGCTGCAAAATGAGTTTCCTGCAAATTATGGCTTGTGCTTTGTAATTATCAAGGGGTGCTTCTATGACCAGAGTGGGGCTATCCTGTTTATTATGTGGGATCCTCCTCCTTTTCCTTCTCATGCAGGCCAAACCCAAAGATTCTTATTGTTTTATCTCCTGGCAGATGCCATGCTTTCTGACTATTATGGAGGTGGTAACCAAGCTTAAAATTCTGAATTATCTCTCTTTAAACCAAGGGAGTGTTCAGCTACTTCCAAGGAATGTGCTTTTCCGAATCCACTTTTGGTACAATTCTGTTCTTTTGGGGGGACACAGCCCCTCAGTTAAAGTTAAACTCTCCCCCCGGATGAACTCAACTGGTCACTTAATGGAACGTCCGCTTAGTTTCCTTAGCAAAATAACAAATGCTTTGGCATTGCTTTCTTCCAGGGCTTTAAAAAAAAAATCCCAATGGGCCTCACATTTTTTGGTGGCCTCCCCTCCAGGGACTAGCCAGATCTGACCCTGCTTAGCTTTTCACAACAAGGACACCCAAATGGTGCCACCTAGCTGGGCAAATTACTCCATGTACAGGAAGTTCATGTTCTTTGCATTTCAATTCAATCTTGTTTGGGTCATTGCCTTTCCTGTTTTTAGGAGGGTGTCCTCCAGCACACCTCTCCAAGGCCATGTGAGGCCCCAGGGCTACCCATTTTTGCATGCCTCTGGCCTGTTGCAATGGGATCAGGAAGCTTCAGCCTTGCTAAGTGGCTCTTTTGGGCATGCTGGAGGGCAAAGGATGGCACGCAGGTTCTGTGATCAGTCTTCCCTGGCCTCCCTCCCCTGCCATATCTTCTTAAGCAGTTTTCCCTTGGCTCCCATTCCCTGCGTGCCTTTGTGATGCGCTCTCCTATTTCTTTACTTATTTATTTATTTATTTATTTATTTTAATAGAGTTATATGACTCTCATGTTTTTTTTTTCTTTTAACCCAGTGTATTTTGTATAAACGAGTCCCATATTTCACAATACTTGTCCATACAAAGTCTACGGCTATAGGCGATCCACTCATAAGTGGCAAGTGCGATCAGGTCTTCAATCCATTGAGTGAGTGGGGCCATACATTTATCTTTCCAGTGCCACAATATCAGTCTTTTGGTCATAGTAATGGTCAGAGAATCTATTTATGTTGTCCAGATGTCAAATTCCATGTACTAGGTATATAGTTCAAAAGAATATTATCCTCTGAAAATTTCAGCTTTTGTCACACCATCATATTTATGTAGTCCGCTACTTTCTCCCAAAACTTAATAAGTATAGGATGTTGTAAAAACATATGCTTTAAAGAGGGATTGTCCTTGTTACATCTCCAGCCAAATGCTGTTTTTGACCATCCTTTTCTATACAGACGTAGCGGAGTCCAGTCAATTCTAAATGGCTCAACCCTTCTGCCATCTATCCGAGTCCGGGTGCAATCTCTCTTGGGCCCCATTCTCTACCTGGCCTTATTGGCTGCCATGCAAGCTGCTGTTCGTTCTCTGCCGCAGACTCTAAGCAGGCTCAGGTCAGGCTTAGCTAATCCCACTCTCAGCAGCTCCCCAGCTCAGTGATTCAGTGTGCTCCCGGGCAGCCCTGGTCCACCCTTTCTCTCTTCACCCCAATTTGGGGATGGAATCAGAGGCTCTTTGGGGCATGTTTGACAAGGAGGTTTGGCAGCTAATCACCAGCTGCTGGAATGTGGATCAGACGGTCAAATTCTTCTCTTCTCCCCTTATTTAAAACATATATGAGGGAAGAGTACCAAGAGGGAATAGCAAAGCAGCAGCGGCTGTTCTTCCCTGCCGGATAAACCGGCTGCACCGCCTTAGTCGTGGGAACGAGCCTTTGTCAACCAGAGCTGCAGTAAGTACACACCCACACACCCAAACACAGTTCTGGATGTTTTTGCTAAGCAGAGGAGAGGAAGGGGAGGGGGCCAGGAGGATGATACCCTCCAGATCTGGTGGATTAAAGTTCCCCTCCTCCACCTTTACCATTTTAGGCCATCAAGAAGGGTCTTCAACCTCTCTTTTGGTTTGGGGGATATTGATTGTGTTTTTATCTCTTTTCCTCTTCTAGAAACATTGATGGACACAAAGTGGGTGACATCTGAGTTGGCGTGGACAGCTCATCCAGAGACTGGGGTAAGAGGGTCTGTTTTCTAGGAAAGAAAATGGGACAGGAGGCTGAACTTCATCTAAAAGGGAGAATAAGTGGCTTTCCTTCCCTTTTTCCTCTCTTCTTCCGCTTTCGGTATCTTCTTCATCGGTCAAGGTTTATCTGCTGCTTTGAAGCATCTCTCCAGCCACGCTTGGTCAATCCTACCCATTCTGTGAGAAAAACCTACCGGTGAGCCTCGCAGTCTTGGAACCAATAAAAATGGTGTGAATCGAACCATTGAAGTCCTTGCATTTAGGGAGGAAGTCAACATCGGAAAGAGCTTAGGTTTAATCCTTCCTATAATTGGGGAGGGTTTTTATTTTAAGGCCATTTCACGTTGGGGGGGGCAAGAATGTTGGCTGGGATATGCATATGGAAATGAGACACAATGGCTGCATTCATACAACATCATCACCTTGACTTTTAATGAAGAACAGAGAGAGATACAGGGAGTCCCAGGGTTAAGAACGCCTGGTTTACATAGTTAAGAACAGAGCCTATTGTAGCAAAATCTGATTTAAATACACAATGATGCGAATTAAATACATAATGGTTTGAGTCCATTACACAATACTACTTATACCAGTGTTTCTCAACCTTGGCAACTTTAAGATGTGTGGACTTCAGCCCCCAGCATGGCTGGCTGGGGAATCCTGGGAGTTGAAGTCCACACATCTTAAAGTTGCCAAGG